CCGTCCTCGCTGCGGCTCTGCTGGGGAAATCTGGGGCAGGAGCTCTTCAGGGCTGGGAAAGCAGAGGCATCCGCACTGTTGAAGCCCACATCGTGCTGGTGTGCTGGATAGGGGCAAGAAGGCCGAGGCAACAGTTTTGAGGAAAAAGGTATTTCCTCAAACACACTTGAACAGGTGCTGCAGCATATAGCTTTCTTTACTGATATTGTTCTTGAGTAGCTAATTTTGATCTTTAAAAGCCTGATATTCCAGCTTAGGTCTAATGATAATGGCAGAATTTAAGGAACTTCAATTTTTTTAAAGCTCATCAAATCATTTGCTGTCATTTGAGTTTTAGGTGGGGTATATTATTTAATTTGCTAGAATCATTTGGATCTTTTTGTAAGGTTCTGTGCATACTTGAATGTTTTTCATGCCCCCATGAGTCACCAACAGAGCCCAAAACAAAAGCCCAGGTGAGCGTGGAGCAGGGGGACCACACGCAAACACATGAGCTGAGGCGTGTTAGACACCACATCCCGCAGCGAGGTCTGACAGCAGATCCTGAGGTGTTGGCAAGCCAAATACAGAAGTACTCTGACAGCCGAGCAAAAGATGAGGGAATTCGATTGTGAGTGGCTGTGTGAATTAAGTCATTAGCGTTTAATAATATTAGCAAAAAGTATTACATGTACTGTCTTTCTCAGTTATTTTTAAACCCTCCCAAGCCAACAGGAATTTGCTGTAACATTTTTGCATGAGCAGCAAGGTTACACTAAGTAGACCCAACAGCACGGTGAGTGCTGTCACGTTGGCGGTTTTGCTTTGCTGTCCTTTAGACGTGCTTTTTCCACGCGTACATTCCCATGCAGGAAGAGTTTTTTCCACACGTCGCTGTGCCGTGGGGGCCTCAGCGCCGGACTGCTGCGCGCAGCCCTCGCTCCCGGAGCGGCGCGGTTGCGGGAGGATACTAGCAGGAAAAGGCGCTTTCTGGCGGTTTCCCGGCGGAGCGGCCCGGGGCGCGGTGCTGGCCTGGTGCGGGTCCGTCCCTCATGGTGCGGCCGCGCGGCGCCGGGCGCAGCTCCGCACTGGCACCGCGGGGGC